GTTTCCTTGGGATTATCTACTGGGAGGAACCACAGGGGAGCTGCTGGTGGGCTAGAAATGCCCCCTTTCTTAGGGAATAAAGGGGGTACATGGATGTGCACATAAGCAAAAGAAACTGTGCTGCACACTTAAGATTTATGTTCTTTACAATATATGTTAGATCTTAATAAAAAAGAACATTAAAAATTTATGTTAAAGAAAGAACAGAAATGTATTAAGATTAATGCATCACATTTAAGATAGTGAGAAAACCAGTGTGCCATTCAAGTTTCGTTTAAAAATCATCTTATGAAAACTGATTTTCTTATTTGCAAAATTGGAATATTAGTATCTACCAACCTCATATTAAATGTATTCAGTAATGTTTAAATATTCTCATGTTCCTTTAAGAATAGCCCCACATAAATATAAGGTAATATTATTTTGAAGCATTCCAAGATCTCATTTTTACTCATGTAATCTCATAAATGCTGCTCCCTTTTTAAAAAATTACAACCACTAAAACCCATAAAGCAAGTGAAAGTGGAAACTTGAGTTAGGCCAAAAACAAATTAATAAATTGGGACTAAAGTAGGGATATCTAATCTTTCCATGACCCTTATGATGGACTGCTGTCATAAAATTGAAATGTTAATATTTGTAATTATTAAATCTCCCAGAAGGATACTAGAATCTACTCAGTAACAGGATTCTCATCTCCACAGACTCCAAAGATTTATAAACAGCCTCATGTCCAATAATACCATACAGCTTATCTCTTCCATTTTAAGAGTTATTGACAAAACAATTAAACAATAATCTGGTTCAAATATCTATGGATCAAATCATAGAATTCTTCTAAATCTTAGCTGTCTAATATGGTAGCATTAGTCATGTGTGGCTATTTGGCACTTGAAATATGGCTAATCTGGCCCAGCCGGTGTGGCTCAGTGGGTTAGAGCATCATCTTGTGTACCAGAAGATCTCAGGTTCAGTTCCTGGTCAGGGCACATACATGGGTTGCATGCACCCCTGCCCCAGTCAGGGTGCACAAGGGAGGCAACTAATAGATGTCTCTCTCTCTCTCTCTCTCTCTCTCTCTCTCTCTCTCTCTCTCTCTCCTCTCTCTCTCTCTCTTTTCCTCCTTCCCTCCCTCCCTCCCTCTCTCCCTATGTCCCACTCTCTCTGAAATCAATGGAAAAAATATCCTTGGGTAAGGGTTAAAAAAAAAAATATGGCTAATCTGAATTGATGTATTCTCTAAGTATAAAATACACACCATTTTCAAACCTTCATAACAGAAAAAGAATGTAAAATATCTCATTAATATTTTATATTGATGACATTTCAAAATAATATTTTAAATATACTGATTAAGTAAGATATATTATTAAAATGAATTTAACCTGATTATAATTACTCTTTTTTTTTAATGAGGCTAATAGAAAACTTTAAATTCCATATATGGCTTGGATTATATTTCTATTGGACAGCAGATCTCTAAATAAAGGTGGAAATTTTCATAATGCTATTTCTTTCAAGACAGTTTTCAGAAAGAGTTTAAAGAATGAGGGTTAACTTTACTTAATGTTGTCTAGGCAAATTACCTGTCGTTGTCCAAGATTAAAACCTGCACTGAAACTTTATCTTCAATCAGCTGAGTTTTAGAATGGTCATATGATACAAGGTTTGGCTTACATGAAGTCACAGAATATTTTACATATATATTAACATGAATATTTAACAACATGCAAACCTTCAGTTCTAAAACGTTTGAGGGCATTGAACTATAGAAGCAGAGAAATGACCTTAGTACATCTTTTACAAGACTTCCCAACACAAAAACTATATTCAATTATAAAAACAATAGTGATATGGACTGAATTTTGTCCACCAAAATTCACTTTGAAGCCCTAATTCCCAATATGATAGTATTTAGAAATGGGACCATTTGGAGGGAATTAGGTTTAGATAAAGTCATGGGGATGGGACACTGGTCATGGGATTAGTGTCTTTATAAAAAGGGAGAGATCAGAACTCTTTCTCTTTCTCTCTGCCATGTGAAGACACTATGAGAAGTGGCCATTTAAAAGCCAGGAAGGGCGCCCTCACCAGAAACTGGAACTGCTGGAGCTTGATCTGGACCTTCTCACTTTCAGAACTATGAGAAAATAAATTTCTATTGTTTAAGCCACAGTCTTTGTGTTTTGTTATGACAGCTCAAGCAACTAATACAGATCCCTACCACTTGAAACAATCTTTTTATTAAATATCATAATTAACATTTACTTAATGCTTATTATGAATACAAACATTTTTGCTATAGTCAGGTAATGTGATTTGCAAAATGTGGAGAATAAATAAATATCTGTTGATATTCTCTATATGTCAACAGTACAAACCTGACCTATGGCCTCTGGAGATCAACTGGCTCATACACCATCTTTGGAGAGCCAGGGAAAAGATTCAAGGAAAATGATTATTACTTTAAAACATTACTAATTTGAAATATTTTCTTAACTATATCACAAATATTTTCTTCAGTAAATGAAATTCATATTCTCATTTGAACTGAAAATGCTAAGTTAATATCTCCCCTAGGGATTTGCTTCTTGGTATGGCACCTTCAATCATTTCATCCTAGTTTAAGCGTAACAAAACCTCATTTATGCTCTAAGGCAGTGATGGCGAACCTTTTGAGCTCGGCGTGTCAGCATTTTGAAAAACCCTAACTTAACTCTGGTGCCGTGTCACATATAGAAATTTTTTGATATTTGCAACCATAGTAAAACAAAGACTTATATTTTTGATATTTATTTTATATATTTAAATGCCATTTAACAAAGAAAAATCAACCAAAAAAATGATTTCGTGTGTCACCACTGACATGCGTGGCATAGGTTCACCATCACTGCTCTAAGGCATGAATGATCCTAAATGTTCCTCAATCAGTATAGGAAGGAAGGAGGGAGGGAGGGAGGGAGGGAGGGAGGGAGGGAGGGAGGGAGGGAGGAAGGAAGGAAGGAAGGAAGGAAGGAAGGAAGGAAGGAAGGAAGGAAGGAAGGAAGGAAGGAAGAGAGAGAAAGAAAAAAGAGTAAGGAGTCCCAGAACAAAAGAGCCCGGAGAACAAAATTCTATGCTTTGTTTCTTTAAAAACATTCAAAACCTCTTCGAGTTTTTTAACTGCCTTATTTTAAAGAATGAAAGCCAAAAAAAGGTAAGAGAACCAAACAGAGTAATTCCTTCTATCCCCATTTGAAGCTCCACGGGGTCTACAAACTCCAAGAAATCTATACAAAATTTTGTTTGTCCTATACTAGTACATATTTTCTAGGGAAAAGGACATGAGCTTTGAATATAATCTCAAAGGAGACAGTGACCAAAAAGGCTAAGAACCTCCTGTTTAAGGGTTTGCTTTAAGGAACTGGATGAACAGGTCTTCTGGCACCTAGCAGCATGGCACCTAAGACCTCAGCATGCATACCAGGCCCTGCTTCTGCTACTTGGTTGGCTACCTTGTTCCTTAGTTTTGTTTCCCAGCTTGTGTATTGTTGCTACTTGCCTTCAACTTCCCCCTTGCTCCCAGCTGTCCTACTCTGAATATCCCTGTTCACCAACATGGACCCTGAGTGGCTGTCTCATTTCAGTGAGACTCACAGTGGTGCCGACCACATTTATCAACATGCCCTTTTCCCTTATTCCTCTTTACTCTTTGGGGCCACCTGAATTTGTCGCCGTGGTGGATGTGTTTGTTGTCCATTTCTTTACTCTCTGTATTTGGGTCTAGACATGATCAGTTTGGCCAGGTGCTTTTAATGATCACTTTGGCTGGTTATATCCTGTACTGCCATTCCCAGGTGGTGTAAAATTCTTTCCCACTCCCACCTTAAAGATATTAGCTCCCCAGAAAGGAATATTAGATAAAACTGCCAACGCATTGTTTATGTCAATGATTGTGGCACTATTACATCAAGTGGCAGAGTCCCATGCACCTGCCTGGCCCGTTTCTTCCCTAAGAGCCAGTAGGGCGATCAAGTACCCACACACTTTGCACTTCACCCTTCCACCCGCTCCAAGTTCTCTACTTAAATTTAACTCTGTATCTTCCTACAGCCCTCCTTGTATTGGGGTAAAGAATTGACTCTGTCTATACTCTTCTCACCAATAAATTCTAAAATCTCTTAGTTTCCCTGCAGAGCGCAGATGGGTAAGTTTCGGGTACTGGTTTTTCCTAAAACTTGCCTAAAACCAGTGAGTCTCGCCCTTGGACATCCTGGATCTGAAGGCAAGGAGGGGCTGGCCAGGAGGGTCCCCGACACCCAAGACTATTTATAACAAGATCGACCCCAGGGAGCGGCAGCCACAGGCCGGCGAGCTGCAGCGCCACGACTCCTCGCCCTCCGCGCCCCACACCCCCCCCACACCCCCCAGGTTGGCTCAAGGACCCCGGGGAGCCGGCGGGGCTGGGCCGAGGGTGCCGCGGCCTCCGGCTCCTCCTCGGGGCGCGCGCGGCCAGGTGGGTGGGTGGCGGCGGCCGGGCCCCGGGGATGGCCGCGGCCGCGCTCCGCCAGCAGGTGGCCCCGGGGTCCCAGCGGCGCCGCCCCCTCCCGGCGCCCCTCCTCCCGCGGGGGCGGTCAGCGCCCCGACCCGGCTCGCACCCGCCGCCGCCGCCGCCTCCGGCCCGCCCGCCGCGTCCCCGGGGCCGCGCTCGCCGCCGCCGCCGCCCCCGCCGCGCCCCGAGCTGCGCCCAGGCCGGCCCGCGGCGACACCCCGGGGCGCCCGCCGCCCCCGCCCCCAACTCGCTCCCCCACGGAAAGTTCGGCTCCGGCCGCGTTTTTCCCCGAAGCCGGGAAGGAGCCGGGGTCGGGGGGCGTGCGGAGGGGCCCGGGCGGCGGCCGGGAGGGGGCAACTTCTCCCGGGAAAGCGCTTCCCGCCGAGCCCCGCGCGCCGCAGCCCCCGCGCGGGTTCCAGGCGGCTCTTCCCTTCCCCCGGCCTCCCCCCTGCGGAGCCCGGAGACGGACCTTGGTCCCGGCGCCCCCGCCGCCGGGTGACCGGCCGCCCGGCCGCGGCGCTGCCCCCGCACCATGGAGTTCTCCGAGAGGAAGAGGAGCAGGAAATCCCAGAGCTTCAAACTGCTCCGCGGAGGTGAGCGCGCCGGGCGGGCAAGGACGTGGCGCCGCGTCCACAGCCCCGCGCGGCCCGCGCCCCTGCCGGGCTCCGGGACCCCCGAGTTCCCTCCCGCGGGCGCCGCGGCCGCGCACCCCGGCAGGCGAGCAAAGTTGTCCGGGGGAGGCGGGAGGTTGTCGTTCCAGGTAAACAAGTCGGAGGCCACTAAGGAAATTAGCAAACAATGACACTTGGGGAGCCGGGAGCCCTCTTTGGTATTCCGCTCCCGTGGCCAGGTTGGGGGCTGGGGGAGAACTGCCTTTCATCAGGCCGAGCGCACACCGATCCCCACCGGTGGTTGTGGGCTTGGGGTGGTGGTTGTTTTTTTACCCCCGAAGAGAAAGGAAGAGGGTGGAGGTGATTCTTTTAAGAACAAGAAAGAAGCTCAGGAGCCGTGCAAGCCCATATAAGAATTGTCGATTTCCGAAATCGCTTCTAGGTACGTTATTGGAGTTGCAAAGGTATCTGAGAATAGATCACTTATCAGTCAGATAAGTATCATTTAAAAAAAAAAAAAACCCAGCCAGTTCCTAATGATTTAACAGGTGTGCACCGCAGTGTCTGGGCTGGGCTGATTTTATCAGGGGAGGGGAAAGTTGAATACTATCATCATTGAACAGTGTGTTCAGTTACTTGTTAGAGTCTTTATTTTCCTGATTTCACTTTAAAAAAAACCCAAAACAACGAAAACGGCCAGAACTTAAGAACAGATGTAAAAAAAAAGTCTATGGAAATGCATTGTGTCACTTTAAATGAGAGGCAGGTGACTTATTTTCATGGCAATGTCACAAGTCCTAATACTGAGTTTAGAAGCACTCGGTTTAAATATCTTTGAATCAATTTGAGGCCAAAACCAAACCGCAGAACCTGTCCATTTTTCCTTGGTTGCGTTGTCTAACTGGTATCAGAGTAGAGAGCAAGGCAGTTGTTTTAACAATCTGGGGAAGTCACAGATAAGCTGGTGAAAATTAGAGGGCAATTGCAAGCTAACCTGTCACATCAAATCAATAAAGCTTGCTTTCAGTTGGTCTGAAAATGGTTTTCTTACAGATTTTGAAGATCTGCTTGTATCTGTTTCCCCTGCTTTAGTTTGACACTTCTTAATTGAAGAGGTCTGAAATAGTTTTATGAATTCAAAATATTTGGCTCTGTCTTCTTTCTCTGTACATTTTTTCCTAGCAGTGTTGATTACTCAGTCATTTGTACTTTAAAAATCTCTCCATGTATGATTGGCCTATTTGTCTGATTCATTCAGGAATGTAGGCTGCCTACTTATTTATGACCTCAGGGAACTTACTACTTTATCTTAAAAGTGAGAGTACTTCTGTAGACCTTGTCCCGTGAGGTTCAAGGCCATAGCAATAGCTGTTAAGAAGGAACTTCTCTTTGCTTACCTAGTTGATCCTACTTTTTTAGAAATAGATTGTGAAAGCACAGTAGCCTCTATAGAGAAACTTGTAAAATATTGTATTTGAAAGTTGACTGACATAGCAAGTTTTTCTTCCTTTTTTTCTCTTTTTCCCCCTAAATTATGGGTCTGATTCTTATCTCTGCAGGTGCTTTTTAGAAAATAAACTATTGCGTATTCAAGCACAGTAGCTGAATGCAGAAGACTCTCTTGTGTGAAAGATGGAAATCTTGCTTTCTTATTCCAATTATACTGTATTTGAAATAACAAGTCAGTATTTTTCCAGTGTGATTGCCTCTAAGCTGCTTAGAGGTGGGGATTTTTCTGGGTAAACTGAGAGTACCAGGTAATTAAAGCATACTGTTATGCATATGCTCATGAAATGGGTTGTGGAGACCAGTTTGGAACCCTCCCCTGGCCTATGGTTGGGCACGGTTCTCTTTTCTCTATAAACATCCTTGTCATTTGAAAGAAAAGAAACCTAGTAATTGGCATCTGTGGGCCAAATTTACTCTGGAAACCGTGTGGTCAAGCAAAGCTGTTTTCTAAAGTTAAAGTAATAGGTCAAGTTTGTGTACTTCAGAGTAAGCAAAATCTGAGGGGTTATTAGTAACTACAAATTCTGTGATTGACCGAGTTCTGGAAAATCATATTTGTGGAATAAAGTATAGATTACCCATAGTATATAGGATGAGATTCTAGTCTGTATTGTTTGTTCATATTGTGTAGGTCATTAGAATTCTAATTTTTGGTTGTTTTCTCATCCCAGATTATCACCAGGAGGTATATAAGATGTCAGAATTCAACAATGATGTCAATGGGGAGGCCAAAGAGACACAACCCATTTTTTTAGGTAGGTTCTTATGTCAGTTAATTCCTCAGTAAAACAGGGTGGCCATTTGCAATTAGGGAAGGGGGAAGGGATTGTGCCAGAATGGGAAACGTCTGCCATTGCTTAATGTATGACATTCTTTTCAAGACCTTTTATTTTACAGATTGCCAATATATCCCTTATTAACGTTGGTAAAAGTTGTAATTTCAGACATAAATGTTTATTAGTGTCTACACACAGTGCTAATTATCACTCACTTCCAGAGCCAGATGCTGACGGTGCAGTTTTGTCGCTCTGTGCTCACCCCATTTACATTGCATATTCGCTGGCACGCTTCGCTGGCAATAGTTTGTGTAATTGGGGTATTACATCTTTGACATCTGGATAACAGAAATTCAATTTCCAGGAAGCCGCTATTTGTTTGGTTTTGCTCCTGCCTTGGGTGGGATAGAGGATTAATATGCTGTCTTATTATTATGTCCCTTCACCTTTCTGGCCTGGTTGCTAATCCTGCCATGACAAGATTAAATTAAATCTACAGTCAAAAAGCGTAAGGAAAATAAAAGTGTGATTGTCTGCCTAACCCCCTCTTGATAGTGCTAGTTATCATTGCGCAGCTCCTCATTTTCCTGGCTTTGTGTTCTTTTCGTGACAACATTTGGGGTCAGAGACTGGCCATGCTTTGCTTTCACTGTCCTCATTCCTAGCGCAGCTCAGGGACAGAGAGCAAAAGCAGCTTCTCTGAGACCTTTTGACAAATGCAGGTGCATGATGAATGAGTAGGTAGCCCCAAATGTTGTCACTCTTTCCATGTACAGTTTTTGGCACCTAGCATGTGCAGTTCCGTATCTGCAGACCAGGAGCCCAAAATTAGGATGTTGCCTCTAGGAGTGAAGGACCCATAAAATCAGAGTGGAGAGTAAATGGTGGCATTTGGCTCTGACCTTGCCCATCCTGGACGCCTCTCCATGGCCGGTAGGGGGAGGACTGGATGCTGCACAGTAAGGAGCAGAGAATGGGGGCAAGTGTGGGCAAGAGTAATTAAAAGCAAAGGTCAGAATGGGGGAGAGTTGATAGAGTTTAAGGAAGCAGATTGCTGCTCAGACCCAGGGTGAGTAGTGCTACAAAGAAAAACAATGTGAAAACAATGTGAAAGGTGGCTTAGTGGTCTGTCACCAGGATTCTCTTTTTTGCTTTGAGGAAGAGAAAGGGTGGGTGACAAAGGACGGAGAAATCAAACAGACACTTACTAGAGGTAAAATAGGAGGGACATAGCATTTCTTACACAAGTGATCATTGAAGGCACATGGATCTTTCCATCGAGAGAGAGAGAATATTACTGAGGCCAGCATTGCTCTCAGCACCGTTTACTCTTAAGAGAACCAAAAATGAAAAGGTTAATAGTCAAGTGAAGTGCTATGACCCAGAGAGAGAATATTCTTGAATTGTACTCTTTCCAGTTTCTTAAACTTAATCAGATGGAATTCTGTATTTTTGGTTCCCTCAACTTGATTGGTTAGAATTTTATGTCTAGATACCCACTCGATTTATCCATTTGAAATGAAGAATTTGCCTATTAGTAAAAATTTACATTTATCATAAAAATGGAGCAGCATGCCTTTGGTTTAGTATGCTCCAGTGAAGCAGGTCCCCCCCCACCCCACCCCACCCCCGTCAGCTGTGTACTTGGAAAATAGTAAGGATGCTTTACAGTAGGTTAATTCTGGGTCTGAGAGAGTGGAGGATGAAGAACAAGAAGATACTAGTGCTCAAAATTCAGTAAAATGTACACTCTTGAAGGGGGAGTGATTGCTGCTTTCATTTTTCCTATCTCGAGTCTAGGAAGATAAGAGAACATCAGCGACAGACCAGGGTTGGGATAAGCTTTCAAAATTGGGCAGAAAGGCCTCAGACATCAGGAGACAAAAGACTGAACAGCATGAAAGTGTGCCTGGGTTACTTTTCAATCTTTCATTCATTCTGGGCAAGAATTGATATGGTTGCTAAAGAACATTTTTATTTTATCTTCAGGTCAATTTTTTAAGTGGAAAAGCAAGTGATTACACAAGCATAATTTCTAGGGCAATTGGGAATAGTTATGGATAGCATATAAAATTAAGAATTTTGTCGTTGACCTTGTTATAAAATGGACATTTGTTTTAGTTTGTAATTACTCTTCTGAAAACATAGAGTTAAATCATGCTTGTTTTGTAAGTCACCAGCATCTATCCATAATAGTACTACAGTACAGAGATCGGTGGAAGGTTTATGACATCCAAGGAAGTTTGTTAGCAAAACACCAGAAGAACTGTTTCACCCATAATGCAGCCATAAAACATGGCCCTCAGGTTTCTGGTCAGCATTTTCTGTGTTCACACGTGTGTCATCCATGATGCTATCTGCACTTAAAAGATTAAAGGTCATGTCGGGGAAAGAGAGTGCTCCAGAATTTTGCCGAGGTCCCCACAGGAAATCTATTCTCTGCAATGTTTTTAAGCTGTTGACTACGTAGGGTGTCCGACATGGGAGGACAACTCAGTAGTGGGAGTAGCTGGGCTGTGTGCTTTGGGAACCACACATTTTAGTGTGGTAACAGGGCTAGCATAGGTCAGTTACTTTACCCTGAGCGCATTGACTTTGTCAGGCTGGCTGTGGTGGACTACTGTAATTCACCTTAATCAATTCAACAGGTGTTTGTAGGGAAAAACTATTAACTGAGCACTTTTCTGAAAAGGAAGTGGGTTTGGGCGTA